GGTCGAAAACTTGTGTGCTGCGGGTCAAATCAAAGAGTAGGGTCTAGGGAACTCATACAAAAAAAATCCCGCTTTTTATATGTTTTGCAGTTTTCTTCTGGTATGTGGGGTGAACCGCCTGCACTATTGCCTCAAACTAATGTAGCCCCCATCACCAATAAGAAAGTAGCCCTCTGGGGGGTATGTGCTATTGAGGTACATTCCACTGTGTGTCAAAATACGAATACCATGGCATGAGCCAGGGAAACCAACAGTAATATTTAAGAACTTGGCGTTGTGATCTACCACAGCTTCCAAAGCTATAGAATAGCATAGCTTCTGGTTAATGTATTCTTCATGTCTTTCAACCTCACATAGGATTTCGAGCTGGCAGACATCAATAGCCCCTGCACACTGAAGCAACACAGGAGACTCTGACATACGGCCAAAGTTCTCTCCCACAATTACAACCTCCTGTGCATTAGGGCATTTGATTACATTTCTTGCAAGGCGAACAATGGCATTTAAAATCATTGACACCAAGTCACAGGCAGTGGTTCGTGAAATGTCAAATGTGTTTCCACATGTTCGGTGGGACATCCCAGCAGCCATCCAGTAGAGGGTAAATTACAACCTGTGCAAAAGAAACATGAACTCAGCGATGTTTTATTGAAGATTGAACTATCAGGCTCAGAAAAAGAAAACATAGTTCAATGCTTACAGCAAACTGTAGAGCATATCCTCTCAATTTGGGAGGATTTCTCTGAGCAACTATGCGGTCCATCAACATCCCCAGCGGTTCAGCTGAAAGTCTCAGGTCCCTTCTTATCTGGACAGGGTCTTTGTTCATAAGTCTTGTCTTTCGTCGGTTGAGTATTGGATTGCAGTAAGGGCCCCTCAGTATATTCATAATCAAAATGTCATAAACTTAACAACGCTTTAAGTAACAATGAATTTTTAATGAAACCTACCAGTGCACGTCCAACACGTCGACGGAACATTCTTTGCAAATATAACACGACAATTCGGTTTCTGAAATTAATTATCTTCCTCCTTCTCCTTAAATGCAAATGTAGGATCGGTAAAATAACCGGTACTGGTAACGGTTGAGCATCCATGATCGTACGTAAACAAACACAGCAGCCGAATGTGAATGTTGTACAATGTTGTCTCGCCCTCCTTCTTGGAGCGGCTCGCCACGGCCTGGCCACGGACCAACCGATCGCAGACCGATCGATCGGTGGATGAATTCGGACACAACCCAGGAGCCTGACGAACCTCGGCGACCCATCGGCGCACCGAGCGCGACCCTCCGCGAACCGATAGCGTACCCAAAGCATACAAAAAGCAAAATCCCAGGTCGCTAGCTCAATTCGTTCTCGAGTTGTCGTACGCACAGACAGACAGACGCAAAACGTTTTGATCACTTAAGTATGTTCGCTAATCGCTCAGCCAATAAGTGATATTATTAGGAGTGTTTTGGATATACAATAAACCTTCAAGGGAGTGCATGGCATTGAATGCCAAATATACATCAGATACATCTTCTTCCAGAAATGTGATTTCTTCGGGAAAGAATGGACTCTCTATGCAACCATCCTTCCCAATTTGGGAAAATAACAATTTATGTTATTGTAATTATTGTGAAAATGTATTGTCTGCTGCTAATTTTATCCTCCAATCAATTAGAATTGCTATAAGATGAAATGGTGACATTTTATCAAGAGTACACTAAGTACTCCTCTGTCTTTCAAGTTATGACAAAAATATCCGACTGGTTGATGATTGGGGATTGGGTGACTGGATGACTGGATAGTGACCGATAAATGACTGGATTGAAATCTGTACACCGATTGGTGGAAGTTGCGGGCCCCTCGTTTGCTTGCCTATTTTGATGGGTGTTATTACTGCAGTCTGTCTATGTATCAGTCAATATATTAGCTGACTCAGGGAATCGTTTTTTTCCGTGATTGCAGTTTTCGCTGAGCATAATTGGGTAGCTTCAACGCGTAAATTTCGTATCTCTAGTGGACACCTGCGGCGCAGTACGCAACTCAGCACTCGAGAGTCGCTCGAGCGCCGCGGTCCTTAACAACGCCCTCACGGCCGCCTCAAGTCAGTTGTCTCGCTGCCATGCGCTGTCTGCTTACGTGTCTGCTGTGCCTCCACGGCCTGCAGGGCCTCCTTGGCGCGGCTACGGGCAGGGACGTCGACTTGCTGCTGGACCTACGCCGGGCACTCGATGCATCGCCCACCAAAACAACTCTGACTAAACGTCATGTCAGGTCTAATGACACGGACACAGACCAGGTTGGGTATATATTTGGAGGGAAATTCTTGGCTGCAGGTCTGCGCAGCATGTACCCTCAAGCGTCCCTGCGCTGGACAATCTGAATGGCATTGGTGCCGAGCCTGTTCCTAACTTTGCCCACACTGTTTAATTCCTACTAGCTATATGTACGCCAGACCACGTCTCGCGCAACAGGCTTCGCGATAACTCACGAAACACTGTTACCCTGCGACGCGCCTGGTGCACATATTGCTAGGCCTGCCGCGCTGACACCCGAGACGAGGTAAAGAGAAGGTATAGGCCCTATACTATAGAGGAACAGGGCCTTCCGGGCCCAAAATTTGGCATACTCGAACCATTTTTCGGAGTCTTATTACTCTAAAATTAGGGACATGAACCTTCTAATGTTCGGTACGGTTTTCATTTAAAGTTCGAACTTTGTCAGATTCTTATGTAAAAATCAACGTTTTAGAGATACTAAATAATCTAGGGACCCTAGGGGCCCAAAAGAGGGTGTGATTCAACCCGTATTGTGTAGTTTAAGTATCACTCCCTTTACAATTCTGTAACATAAAGCCTTTTTTACGATTAAATAGACCATTTTGTCTTTTTCACGTTGTTTTCGCCAAGAAATGACCCATAGCGACGGAATGGTACACGATAGAGCTAAACGGACGAAATTTTCGTCCGAAGAGTTGTACTTATACGAGTTACCTTAATACATACATACATAGAAAACAATATTTGAA